CCCAAACGTCAATGTAGAAATGTCCAGGACTATTAATATAATCATACAGACTAAAAGAGTTCTTAACATATCTATTTGTTGGTCATTTACACTTGAAGCTAAATAATGCATAAATTTTGATGTACATGAAGTTCGGAATAAACTAGAAATGTGTCCATAGGACACGGATGCCCCCACACGCCACTGTTCTATCAATCTTATGACTTTAGGTCAAATATTTTTTGGACTACATGTGCCACAAGTTGAAAACGAAAAATCAACAAAAGGCCATAATTCTGTTAAATTTGGTCGCAGCAAAAATTCCTTCCTTTACTACCATCTACACATTAAGGTTGTTCATCCCTGGAATTTTAAGCAAAATCTGCCATCCGGTTTAAGAGGAGTTGCATTCACAAAATTTCTACATAGTATATAGTGAAAAAATCAACAAAGGGCCATAATTCTGTAAAATTTGGTTGCAGCAAAAATTCCTTCCTTTATTACTATCTACACCTTAAGGTTGTTCATCCCTGTAAGTTTAAGCAAAATCTGCCATCCGGTTTAAGAGGAGTTGCGTTCACAAAATTTCTACATAGTATATAGTGAAAAAATCAACAAAGGGCCATAATTCTGTTAAATTTGGTCGCAGCAAAAATTCCTTCCTTTACTACCATCTACACATTAAGGTTGTTCATCCCTGTAAATTTAAGCAAAATTTGCCATCTGGTTTAAGAGGAGTTGCGTTCACAAAATTTCTACATAGTATATAGTGAAAAAATTAACAAAGGGCCATAATTCTATTAAATTTGGTCGCAGCAAAAATTCCTTCCTTTACTACCATCTACAAATTAAGGTTGTTCATCCCTGTAAGTTTAAGCAAAATCTGCCATCCGGTTTAAGAGGAGTTGCGTTCACAAAATTTCTACATAGTATCTAGTGAAAAAATCAACAAAGGGCCATAATTCTGTTAAATTTGGTCGCAGCGAAAATTCCTTCCTTAACTACCATCTACACATTAAGGTTGTTCATCCCTGTAAGTTTAAGCAAAATCTGTCATCCGGTTTAAGAGGAGTTGCGTTCACAAGATTTCGGGACGTACGGACTGACAGACGGACAAGTGCAACGCTATATGCTCCCACATTGTGGGGGCATAAAAATAACTTAAAGAAAACCTTTATAGAGTTTTATCATAAACATAATCAAGAATTTTATTTTTGTGCCCGCATATGCACAACTGTGTACTGAAATTCTTCCTAAGGTTTGATAACTGAAGACAGACTAAAATACCCCCTGTGCCATCGGTTTAGAGCCAGGTCATTCTGCAATGTACAATGTATTTCTGTTCTGCATTGCAAGTCCGGTGTCTGATTAAATTTCAAAATAAAGATATTTTTCAAAATCCACCTGCAGCATAATATGAAATGCCTAGACATATAGCTATGAATAAACAAGAAACATGGCAATGCCACGAAACCAGGTTTTCAATTATCACCATTGTAGATAAACATGTTGTAGTTGAAATACAAATACAAGCAACAAACAATGTAACTATGTGCAATGTAAATCATGATTAATGAATTTTCTATTTTTAGTAACTGTAACCTTGACCCTAGGAGGCCAAAAAGTGAAGTCTTCATAAAAACTTGCTTTACAACAAATTTCATAAAAATATCTTATTCCAAACAAGTTATTGACCGGAAACCTATTTTCTACTTTTAGTAACAGTGACCTGACTGGAAACAGATTTTCTATTTTTAGCAACAATGACCTTGACCTTGACTCTACAGGACCCAAAAGCAGGCAGATGAGCTGGCAGGCATGCAACAACCTAGATTGTTTCTGTTTTATAACTAAATAAAAAATGTTGTGATTAATAGGATATATTACACTAATAATTAAATTTTAAGGAAAAACAAAGGGCCATAATAAGGTAAAAGGTAAAAACTTATCCAATCATAAAACCCTGACAATACACAGCAGGGCACTTGAAGATAAAGCTAATCTGTGAAAATTTGAACAAAATCCTTTGAGAAATGTAGAAGCAGTTGGGCAACAGAAGAAATTGTTCACTATATACTCTATATAAGGGAAAAAAACAAAGGGCCATAATTAGGTCAAAAATTATCCAATCACAAAAACCCAACAATATGCATCAGGGCACTAGATGACAAAGCTTCTGTGAAAGTTTGAACAAAATCCCTTGAGAAATGTAGGAGGAGTTGCGCACAGAAGAAATTGTTCACTATATATTCTGTATAAGGAAAAAAAACAAAGGGCCATAATTAGGTCAAAAATTATCCAATCACAAAACCCCAACAGTATGCATCAGGACACTTGATGACAAAGCTTCTGTGAAAGTTTGAACAAAATCCTTTGAGAAATGTAGGAGGAGTTGCGCACAGAAGAAATTGTTCACTATATATTCTGTATAAGGAAAAAAAACAAAGGGCCATAATTAGGTCAAAAATTATCCAATCACAAAACCCCAACAGTATGCATCAGGACACTTGATGACAAAGCTTCTGTGAAAGTTTGGTCAAAATCCTTTGAGAAATTTAGGAGAAGTTGCGCACAGAAGAAATTGTTCACTATATATTCTATATAAGGGAAAAAAAACAAAGGGCCATAATTAGGTCAATATGCACCAGGGCACTTGATGACAAAGCTTCTGTGAAAGTTTGGTCAAAATCCGTTGAGAAATGTAGGAGGAGTTGCGCACAGAAGAAATTGTTTACGCCCACCCGCCTGTCCGCCCGCCCGCCCGCCGACATACTTCAATCTAATAACCAGATTTTTCCTTCGGAAAACCTGGTTAAAAAGATTAAAGCCATTTATTCCCTGTAATTACTGATAAACTCATCATTTCTTACACAGAGACCTTTCGTCCTACTTTCATTGAAAACCCTTGCACACACTAGGAAATAGAATCTAATCATGTGTAAAACTTCATATAATTTTTGTTCTGGAAAAAACCAAAGCCTGCAAATACTACCACTTACATAAATCATTTAATGGAAAAAAAACTACATGTGGCCTTAAAAAATCATTCTGATAAAATCACAGCCTTCAAAAGTTGTTCGAGAAAAATTTATCAAAAATCATTCTGAAAAAAACTAAAGCCTTCAAATATTGTTCTGGAAAAACTACTGTTCTGGAAAAAAAACTATATACAGCCTTGAAAGTTGTTCTGCAAAAACTTACAGCCTTCAAAAATTGTTTCGGAAATAGACTTTCAAAAGTTGTTCTGGAAAAATTACAGCCTTTAAAACATGTTCTGGAAAAACTACAGCCCACATAAATTGTTCTTGAAAAATCACATCCTTCAAAAATTGTTCTAAATAAATTATATATAGTCTTCAAAAATTATTCTGGAAAAATCATAGCCTTCAAAACTTGTCTTAGAAAATGTAATACAGCCTTCAAATATTGTTCCAGAAAAATTACCGCCTTTAAAAATTTGTCTGGAAAAAGGAACACTTTTAGAAGTTGTTCTGGGAAAACTGTATCCTTTAAACATTGTTCTGAAAAATAAAAAGCTTTCAAAAATTGTTCCGGAAAAATAAAAGAGCTTAAAAAATTGTCTGGAAAAATAAAAAAGCTTTCAAAAATTGTTCTGGAAAAATTTAAAAGCTTTCAAAATTGTTCCAGACAAATAAAAGCTTTCAAAAATTGTCTGGAAAAATAAAAGCTTTCAAAAATTGTTCTGGAAAAACTACAGCCAAGACACTGCATCAGTTCTGAACTTGAGTAATAATATTTCACCATAATTAACTCAAAATAAAGATCTAATTTCTAATTAATCTAATTTCTAATTAATATATGAAACTTCTTCGAATTTAATAACTGATATAACTTTTTGAAAATTAACTTATTCTTGAACAGACTTTTAAAGACATTTTCCTGGTCTGCACTCTTCCATTTTCTCAATTCAAACCTTTATCATACAAGTTTCATGTTATTTTGTTGTTTTCATTGCTACTTTGGGATCTCCTTTATTCCAGATTTTTATTATTGAATGCTTAATAACTACTTTAATGTTATACCAATTCAAATGGTAAGAGAAATACAGACATTTTCTTGGGATTATTACTAAACATCCTCAATTATTATAACAATATTATTATATACATTTAAATAATTGTCAATCATTAAAGGGATATTCAGGCAAAATAATGACAAAAATATCAAAATTATCTTTTGTACTCAAATCAGGCTAAAATGATGTTTCTTGAAAGTTCAGCATGAATTTCAGTTTGAATTTTATATATTTTGGGTTTGAAACGTAAACATTTCTATATATGTTGAACAAAATTTTGACGGCAATAGAATCACCAAATAGTTTTAAAAGAAGTCAGGTGACTTGAACCAACTCTTTAAGTTACAATAAGAGATATTTTGGATATTGTATGATTGAAACAAGTCTATGTCATCAAGTTAGGAAACCACCATTTTATTCTTTATATGGAGAAAAGTTTTGTTCCATTGACTGTCTTATATATTCATTTTGAGGGCATTTACAGAATAATGAATGAAAAATTCAAAACTAAGAGATGAAAATTTTGCCTGTGTCTCCCTTTAAGTCCCTAGTGTCTTAGATTAAAATTTTTGCACTAAATTGCTATGCAAATCTGTTTAAATTAGGAATGAAAAATATAATGCTACATGAATACATGAAGGTCCTATGATTATATTTGGAAAGTAAAGAAATTAACCCTTAACCAGCTGAATTTGTGACTACAATGACAATTGTCAATAAAATATCATAATAAAACTTTTAAAGAAAGCCGGTTGGCCAAGGCCTTAATTCTTTTATTATAAAAATGCTCCAATAACTTAAATTTGATTACCAATTTAAAACAAGAAACTGAAAATTGCACGACTCCAACAGCCAAGCTTGTGCAAAGAAAGTTGGTCATTCTTTTTTTTTTCTAAACATTTTAAGTTTCTTATCCCTCTGTAAAACATTATTATTCACTGTTTTTATACATGTACATTTGTATATAAACAACTAAAATACTTACACCAAAGAAATTAAACATATTTCCACAAATTTCACAAAATTCCACAAATTTTCTTTCATATAAAGTCCTGGAATACTGACAAGACTTTATGCCTTTATCCTTTATATCTCCTTCATTGTTTGAAAAATATATGTATGAAACCTTTTACAGCATGCAACACTGCCTCGTAATATTTGTCCTCCAACGGAACAAAGAATATCAATTTTACAATTCAGCATTCAAACTATTCCTGGAATATGAATAATTCATTCAAAAATTATTTTTCATAAATCTATCAAAAATATTTTCTGCATCTTAGCCTAATACAGACCTAACATGTGAATAACATGCCGATGGAAAATTTCTGCGATATTTAATATATACATCTACGTCTTGTTTGAAATATTTGCGTGATAATTTTATACTTTTTAAGTCACTCGTAAAATACTGCCAGACTGTGTTACTGAATTTCCATGTTAAGATGCACAGACTGGCACCTATTTATATCCAGAATTTCCTTAGGGATGACTAAATATCCATTGACCACAAAATTTCTGAGACAATTAAATTTAAAGATAAACTTGAACAAGTCTTTCTATATTTAGTATTACCTCTTTTAAGGATGGGAATACCAAAATAAACATAAATGACCTTTTTTTTAATTTCATTAGCAATGAATCAATACACTTTCTCTGTTCAAATTTTTTTTTAACACAATTAATTTTTCAAACAATTCCCCCTAAAATTATTTAAAGAAAAATAACATCAAATAAACAAATCAATTGAGAAAAATTCAAAATTTACCAAACAAGAATTTGATAAAACAATTCACATAAACATAACATAAAATTTATCCATTCTTAAATTTTAAAAACATTATTTTTACTTAAAAATCTTTTCTTTTTTTAAAGCCATTAGAGATTTTGTTATTTATTTGTTTTCACATTACAACGAAGACAAAAATCAAACAAACAAATGAAACGTCAATTTGTTAGAAGAAAATTCATGTTTTCTACGATATCGGAGATATTGGAATAGTTCGACACTCTTCGATACAAGCATTACAATGTTGATAATAGGGGAAGAAATTTTGTCTCAGTATTCAACAGTAATCAATGAAATGTTCTTCGTAGAGTGCTTGTACCTCGTTCATTAATTTGTCAAAAACTCTACACCCAATTTATATGGTAAAATAGTTTCCAAGCCATTCCATTGATACAGTACAAATACAAAACGATCCTCTAAGGGAAGGTTTTTATTTCGTCATGTTTAATCTACATCATGTCCAGAAACCTTCAGGCTTCAAATTAGTGATGTTCTCAAAATATGTTATGTTTGTACATTCTTGCAAAGAAAAATAAAATGAGATAATGCTACATAAAGAGGCTGTGTGCATGAATGGACGTTTAAAATTGTAAATTTATAGATCTAATAATACACAGGCATCAGAAGAAGGTGCACGAGGAGTTTGGAATTGGAAAGTAGGACCTAAGCAGGGTCCCAAAAGTTTTTCAACAGGACCACACTATTGATGTGTCTGTGTATTTCAGTTTATTTATAGTCGCCACCGGTTTCCCATATGGGCAATTCCTCCAGAAGAGTATATTAGGCATTTTATATTTTTGAGGATTGTGATTTTAAGTCTCATCCAAAAGATTGATTAGTAATTGTAGTTGGCCAGCCCGAGAATCGAACCAACAATGTCGAGATTTAACTTTAGATGGACCTGAACTCTAATTTACAAGGTGTTTGTAAAATAGTATTGTCATAATTATTAGTGTTTTTTTGAAAAGCAACAAAGCTCATAACATCAGATTTGAAATATTTTGCACTCTACTGAAATATAAATATTTTAAAAAAAAATATTTTTTTTTTTTAGAAAAGGCTTATATTCCCCTAGCCACTACATGAATCTCTTTGATAATACATATGGTAATAATATGTTTTATCACATACCTGTGCCATTTTTGCGACTCCGTAAATATGGTATTGCATAGCCGTGCATATTATTTTTTGATGTGACATCATTTGAGTTATATAAACAAAGTGTTAAGATGCGTTAAAATGTTAACGTTATGCTATAGGCGCATCAATGAAAATGGTATTTTTTCACTTCAAACAGTCTTTATTTTTGGTATGTGATGAATAGAATATTAAATTTGTGAAAGTTCATTACTAAATTTATTGAACTCCTTAAATAAAATATTATGCTCGCCTGAGGCTCGCATATTATAATTTTATTCAAGTCGTTCAATAAATTCAGTATGAAACTTACACTCATTCAATATCCTCTGTATATAATCACACTTGAAAATATGCATTTCCACTGAATTATTGATAAAATGTATTTTATGCATTTATATAACTAAGTTTAATATACAAATATTATCCATTTCAGAAGCAACAATTGGTTTATTTAAACGATGAAGCAATTATGGATCTATATTAAGCTTTGCTCCAAACATCTGTCTGGAATTTTAGTTTTGAATAACACTGGGGATATAAAAAAAAATAGAAATATATGAAAGTACTACACCTGAATATTTGAAATATTTGCATTTTGTTTAAAGCTGCTATAATCTCCAGATAAATGAAATTAATCTTCAAAAATGAAATTTGTGGTCAATTCCTACGCATCAAATTTCAAAACCAGTTTTAAATAGCCGATTAACATCGCTCAGACTGATATTATTCTTAAAAATATTACATATATACAAATGTACATGTATAATCAATTCAAATAAAAGCTTTCGACGTTTTTCTTTTTTTTTTTCATTTTCTTTTTTTTTTCTTTTTTTCTTTTTTAAATATTATTACACCTAACACATGTAAAACAATTGCCATTCAATTCCTTACAAACTTAAACAGGGTTACAAAATAACTTCCTTAAATGACTTTTACAAATAAAATTATCTATTTTTCCCCTCATATGATATTAATTATATCTAGAAATTCTGTTTTTATCTTGGGATGTTCTCATTTTATCATCACTGTAACATGATTATGGGAAAAACAGAAATTAGGATCATTAAAATTGTAAAATAACATCATCTATATTCATTTCAAAATTTCCATGGCATTTAAGTTAAATTATTAAATCTCAATTGTAAAGGGAGTTAATACTTCTACAGTTATTGAACAGCTCAGAATTTTTCACTAAATGTCATAATGACCTTGACCTTTGACCTACAGACCAAAAAAGTGAATTCAAATTTTTCATTTCAGTCTTATTACAATGACTTTTAAGTAATAGCTCAAAAGTAACTAAGATACATGCAGAACTATGTAGATCTTGATATAAACAAATGAAATCTTTGAATTTTCATTACAACTCTCCCGTTTTTTAGGCATCATACAAAAAAAATGAATTGTCAAATAAATGTTACTTTAGCAGTATAAAATTTACTGAAACAACCTTGACTTTAACCTTTATAGTCTCCTTGTAGTAACTAAATATATCCATGCATCCCCCTGTGCAGACCAAGATCTTGGTCTACCCTTCAGTCAGACTACTTATTTTGAAAATTTTCCCTTAATATCATAAATGGTTTTCTCTAGATTGAAAGACAGATAAGTCCATTTTAGATATGTAGTGGTGTAAGGGATTTAAAATGCATGTAAAGAAGACGTTACTCATTATTGTGAAAGAAATTCCGCTTCATGTACGATAGAGCTGTCTGCGTCATTTTCTTTAAAAAAAAACCAACTTCAAAAGTCTGCAAAACTTCTTTAAACAGTAAATGGCGGAATCCTTTTAAAACTATTGGCAAGGTTTCTTAATGTCCTCTTTTCTTTCCAGAAATATAAAACCATAATGTACGAAATATTATTGAAGTTCTACAAAGAAAAAGCAAATATTTGCGATCAATACGAATCAGTTTGGCGCCACTTAAATATGATCTGTCAAAATTATAACAAGAAGTCTTCAATGATCACGATATAGGATGTTCCTTCTCGTCTCGTTTGTTTAATATATACCAGACATTTGAGTGGGATTTATTCCCCTCCTCCCCTCAATTTGATTAAAGCAAATTAATGTATTATGAATACCATGTATTTTGCAATGCAGTAGTTTCGCTATCATAATATAAATTAGAGAATATATGTGACTGTAATATATCCTTTAAAGTGACTGTGATATAATTTTTACAGTGACTGTAATATAACCTTTACAGTGACTGTAATATAATCTTTACAGTGACTGTAATATAATCTTTACAGTGACTGTAATATAATCTTTACAGTGACTGTAATATAACCTTTACAGTGATTGTAATATTACCTTGACAGTGACTGTAATATAACCTTTACAGTGAATGTAACTTAATCTTTACAGTGATTGTAATATAATCTTTACAGGGACTGTAACATAATCTTTACAGTGATTGTAACATAATCTTTACAGGGACTGTAACATAATCTTTACAGTGAATGTAAAATAACCTTTACAGTGACTGTAATATAACATTTAAAGTGAATGTAATATAATACTTACAGTGACTGTAACAAAACCTTTATAGTGACTGTAATATAATATTTACAGTTACTGTAATATACCTTTTACACTGACTGTAATATCTTAAATATGCTACAATGAAGCTACTCAATTTTAATTTTAATGAGTCTACATACACACGATAAGAAGAAGATTTGATCAGCAGTTTTAAAGAAGTTGAGGCTATTTAGATGCATGGCTAGCCACACATCATATGATCATAACACTTCAACTTTGTCATGATCTATATTGAAATATTTTTTCCTATGTCAATATCTTAATATCAACTTGGCGTCAAAATCCCACATGAAGTCAAATAACCTAGCTGCTACTGAAATTTTCTATTTATTAACTTAATTAAAATTCAAATCATGGTTTTGAAACCAGAAGAAAAACTTTCACAGATTGGCTTTCCCCACAAGAAACTTCCTTGATTGATTCATTTAAAAAAGATTATAATATTAAGCTTTTAACTTCATTAAATTCCATGAATTGAAGCTTTTAGCATTTTAATGAATTTTCCATTACCTAAACCGTCAAAATAAAACTGTAATTTGAAAATGTCACCAAATAAATAAGTCGCAAAAAATCAAGGGTTTAGTACACAAGAACTGCCAGTTGGATTATGAAATGAGTGTGATAGTGCACGTAAACAAAGGGAAATTATTCTGAGACAATCAATGCTTGAGTTATGGTCCTTGGAATGTGAGTTAAAAGACTCTTGCAAGGTGCTTTTTTATTCGTTAAGTATCAAAAACCTTGTGAAAGCTAGATAGCTATAGTTTTCGGATGAGAAAGGAACGAAAGTTGTGGT